TTCTTGATTCAGTGGAGGCATAAAGGGGCCAGGCGAGATAACCGGTGTCTCCCAGCCAGCCTGGGAAACAGATGAACCAACTGTGTTTCCCAGTGTGACACAAGACATGGACTACAGGACTCGCTTTTCTTTTTAGGCTGTCTTTAGGGGCAACCAACATAGCGAAGCAACATAGCAGAGAGATCATAGCAACCTGAATACTATTTGTTTGTTGCAAAGAGATAAATAATGCATTGCACCTGCTGTTTTCCACCTGATGCTTTTCATCTGAGGGGTGACAGAGACTTCCTGTGTTCTGGCACCCTACAAATCAAGCTGCCTGATTCTGCCCCAGAGCCACATGGATGCAGCAGCTTGGTGAGGAGGGGGAGGAGGGGGAAAAGGGGAGGCCTCTCACGTCTGTACCCTCCCCAACCAAGACCAAGGGGAAACTAACAAAGACATGGTGGCTGGAGACACGGCCTTGGGTCTCCTGGGCTGCAAAACTGGCACAGAAGCAGCTATTCTTGGAGCTGGATTAGAGTAGGAAGAAACTTGGGGCCTCACCCCACACTTCCTTGGGGTCATGACTGTTCACATGTCCTTCCTCTCTGGAACTTAGGTCATGCCGACCTCTCTGCCTCAGTCTGCCCCTGAGGAAATCTCCTCACCTTGCGGCATGAATCAGGGTCCTCTCACAGCACAACTACCTGTTTGTGGGCCCACTTTCCACCCTTGACTCTAAACTCATTGGTGCTCCTTAGTCCTTTTTTTTTTTTTTTTTTTTGTCTTTTTGAGACAGGGTTTTGCTATGTAGTTCAGGCTGGCCTTGAACTTACTTTGTAGCTCAGGCTCGCCTTGAACTCACAGCAGTTCTTTGCCTCAACCTCCCCAGTGCTGGGATTACAGGCATGCGCCACCACACCTGGCCTCCTTAGTTCCTTTTAAAAACAATTTCCAGGATGCCTGTTCAAAGTAAAAAATCATTAGATGCTTAATAAAGTTGCCTCAGACATTCTCAAAGTGGTCTAGTGTATTCTCATAGAATCTCAGCATTAGAGGACTCCTTATAAGACCACTGATCTTTGTGACTCTTTAAACCTTTCTAGTGTGTCAAGACAGGCAGGAGCTGGCCCCTGTTTAGTCTCCACCACTGATGGGGGAGCTCACTGCCTTCCAAGACAATTCCTCTCTGAAAGAGAGATCTTTCTTCACCCCTCTATACAAACTGCCTCAGTCCCTTCAAACACTTTCCAAAAATGTGGTATTGGATTTCTTCATCCTCAGGCTTTTTCTTCATTTAGTGCTCCCTGAATTTTTTTATTTTTTATTTTCGTTGTAAGAGTGCTTAACAAGACACCTACCTCCTTAACAAAATTTGAAGCGTGCAGTGCGGTAACTCTTAACTACAGGGATGATGTCATACGGATCTCCAGAACTCATTCATCTTCCATAATTGAGATTTTATGTCTATTGATTAGCAGCACTCCCTTCCCCCAGCCCCCACCCCCCAGCCCCCGGCCACCATAAGTGTCTCCTTAATTCTGTGGCTTTGACTACATTATGTTCTTTGTAAGTGGAATCATGTGGGCTTCCTCCTTCTGGGGCTGGCTTCCTTCACTAAGCATCATATCCTCAAGATTTGTTCATGTTGCCGCATATCAGAGGATTTCCTTCTTTTCAAAGGCTCAGCGATGCTCATTGAAGGAAGTCCTGTTTTTTTTTTTGTTTGTTTGTTTGTTTTGTTTTTTTTTTGGTTTTTCTCCGGTACCTGGAACCGAACTCATGACCTTGCGCTTGCCAGGCAGGCGCTTTGCCACTGAGCTAAATCCCCAGCCCCGGGAAGTCCTGTTTTCTTACTTCCTGTACAAAGTGTGGCTCCCAGAAGTTTGAACAGGCTCTGGGCTTCTCACAGTGCAGAGGAGTGTGAGATGACACTCCCTTTACTTTACCAGTTATAATTCTTACCTGACTTCCTCATCCTCCTGAGCTGAACATCATCTAAAACCCCATGGCCTCATCCCTGGTTCTTCTGCTGAGTGCCATCCACTCCTCAACCTGCTCTTGCCTTTGGTATTTGGTCCTCAGGGTAGAACATTACAGCCTTCTCGGCAGAGTCTCATCTTGCTTTGTGTGGTCTGGCATCCATCCAGTCTCCTAAGGGCTTTTGGGATACTGATCACTTACTTGAATTGCCGTAGGCTTTTCCTACCCCTTATTCTGTGGGGATCTGAGGAGCCTGGCTGCTGCATCAGGCTGTCCCTGAAATGAGCTAGTTACCAGCGCCCCAATCAAGCCACCAGAAGTTCTTCTTGGACCACGGCACTCAGGGTCTGGTCCTGGATTCATTGCACATAGGAATCACCTGACATACTTATGTAAGATACAGAGTTTAAAAAAAAATACAGGGTTTTTTATTTATCAGAAAGAATCAGAATTGAAGGAAGTGGGGCCCAGGAGTTTGGACTCTTAATCACCTTTCAGTTGATCTGAGTGGATAGCCAGATCTGGGAATGACCAGAGTTCAATGAGTTCAAAAGCCCAAAGATACTATCTGTGGAGTCTCTCCTGATGGGATGGGTGTGGAGCAATGATCCACTGACATAGATTCTATACATCCAGTCCATCTATGCGGGTTCTAGAGCTATGATCCATCCACCAGGCCACACAAGTTTGATGTGCTGGCTCCAGACCTTTATCTGCTCCTTCCTCCCTCTTATTCTGCCTTCATCTTACTGTTTTTGAAAACCCTGTTTCAGCTTCCAGGCCCTGAATTCTGATACAGGTTTGACCTATGCCCCCCATACCAGCTTATTGTTCTTGGTTTCCTATGGGCTTCCTGCAGACAGCTCTGATTTTGGCTTGTCTTGCATTTTGTGGTGAGAGATTCCTCTTCTAGCCCTGGCATAGTGAAACAAGCAACCCTCAGGGTACATGTTAATCTTTAGTTGGTACATTGCCCCAAACCCACCAGCTTATTCAGATTCACGTATTCACATTGGTTTATTCGCACAACGCCTGCATTAACTGGTACTGTGTACCGGTGATGTTACACAGTAGGTGCTCACTAACTTTTTCTCTCTAACAGCAGAATTCTTTAATCTGATGCAATAACTGGGATTAGTGAAAATACTGCAGGCTCCTGAGCAAGACAGACGGGAACAGGAGCCTCAGCTGTACAGCCTTAGGCAAGATAATTAACCTTCATGAACCTCAAGCATCTTGCCTGTAAATGAGAAGTGAAGCTCAGTGTCTGAAAGCACTTTGGCTCTCACAGTGTGATTCCTTAGGAGTCACGGACCTCCCCTTCCAGGCTGGGACCCTGTTTGGGGGTCCTCAGAAGGCAATTCTTTGCAGTCAAGTCTCCCAGCTCCAATCAGCCCAGAATTCTCCTCTGCTGGCAGCCCGTGGTGGACTGTGGGCAGATCCTGCAGGAGCGTAATTACCCCACCGGCGTCCTCCAGCCCCCATTAATCAGCCGGTCCTGTGACTTTAACTCGGAGGCAAGCAATCACTCTTGCTTCTGCTGGTGAATTCTTTTCATCCACTTTTGTTTATCACTGTTGAAGCATTTTTAATCAAAACAATTAAATATGCTAAATCTTCCTCAATTAGTTATGCATTAAAAATTAAAAGTGCTTGAGTGGAAATGGCTCAGTGCTGAGTGCTGGTACTCAGAGCGCTTCCCCCAGGCATCGCCAGCTTGGGAGGGATTTGGAAATGCGTGCACGGGGGTCACAGAGGGTGCATCTTTCCATAAATGGGAAGCTGTGGCCCAGCAGTGTCAGGGCCCCTTTCCAATCGCAGAGAAAATCAGTGACTTGACTTGAAGTTCTAAGATTTCTTCCATCAGAAACGCTTATCAAAGGGCTTGTGGCAATCGTTTATTCCCTCTTTTTTCTCTTTACCAGTGATTTATTTTCAATACTTACCCAAATACTGTACCACGCAGACTGTGCTGCTGCGTAGATGAGACAATGGTAACAGCCACACCTGTGGTCTCACAATTTTGCAGCTTGGTGGAGGTCCAGGCCGGTTCTCAGCACCCCCTTGAAAATCTTTAATCGAATCCTTAGCTCAACTAAATGACAAGCCTAAATTATATTTCCCTTTGTGCTTGCCAGAATAACCCTAGGGTTAGAAATTATTTTATACTTATAGATAAAGCAATGTTTCAAAGTGCATATGGTAATTTACGACTTCCAGAGGACCCCATTCACTAGAGATCAAGTTGGCCTCTGCAGTGTGGTCCTGCTCCAGTCTGCTTGTCTAGCCCTGTCTTGCCAGGTGGACCTGCCTTGGCTGCTAGTTCTGTGCATGGCCAGGCTGTAGTTCAGGCCTGTGGCTTTCCTGCTTCAAGCATTATTTTCCCCAATTTAAAAATGCAGGTTCCTTGGAGGGGCCTTAGATGTGGACACCTTCAGAGCTAGCCAGCGTGGGACTGACAGGGCTTGTGGGGGCCTAAGAGCAGGCAAACTTCTCACGGTGATCTGTTCGTATCCTGGCAGGACTCTGACCCTCTGGGGTATGAAGAGGACCTGACAAAAAAAATTATAATGAATATGATCATTGAGGCTTAAACAGAAAGCATTAGTAGCTCTGACGATGGTAAAGATGATTCTGACCCAAAGAGCTGCATGAAGTAACTGGTATTTGCATAGGAGCTTAAGTAGACTTTGGAAAGATGGGAAAGGGGGAGAGAGGGAAGCATTTATACTGATGCCCAGTGGCCGGGGGAGATGGATGCCTCAAGGGCAGTCAGGAGAAAGTGGGCAAAGCGGAGACAACTAGCATTTTTGAACAACTAGTACGTGCAATACATATCCTTCCTCATTTCAGGAAGCATTTGGGTTGGGACTAGACAGAGGAGAAAATTGATTGGGGGTAAAAGCGCTGGGACTTCAACCCAGATCTCCAGGACTCTAAGGCTAAAGTTAGCTTTTACAACTGTGAGTTGGTTGCACCATAGCAACTGTCACCAGCTCCTCAGCAGTTTCCATTTCTCTGTCTCCCTACTGCAGGTGTCACCAGCAAAGATACCAAGAAATGCCTTGGAGGTGCCCTGGGCCTTGAGTATGGCAAGAACAAAAAAACTGAATAATGTTTATTGGAGAATTTTGTAGGGGGGCTGGGGATTTAGCTCAGTGGCACAGCGCCTGCCTGGTAAGCCCAAGGTCGTGAGTTCGATCCCCGGTACCGGGGGGGGGGGGGGGGAGAATTTTGTAAAAACTCTGGACCGGGAAAAGTTGACAAGTGTTTAGCAATGGGCCTCCAAATTGGGGCAAAAAGTGACCCCTCCAGCTGATTCCACTTCAGGCAGTAGTCACACTGGGCACTCATACCCAAAACCATGACCTGTATGTAGTGGTTCTATTTTAAATCTACCATGCTCTGAAATCACCTTAGAGATGCTTGACTATATCTTAGGCACCCTCCTAGACTTCAAGTTCTAGACAAAAATATAAGCAAGAATGGGGATGAAAAGAATAGAAAATGATCTGTTGAGCTGATGGCTTGTCAGGTAACAGAGGGAGGAAACAGGTCTACTTGCAGAGGAGAATATGATTATCAACTCCAAGCTAAAAGAAAAATGATGAAAGGAGGAATATTCCCTTATCAAGGAATATTCTCTCAACAAGAATATTAGGTGGCATTTTCTGAACGAGTCGTTGTGGATGTTCCTGTATTCACTGATTCATATTCACTCATCAAACATGTATGGAGTGTATTTTTTCTAGGTGAGAGACACAGAAGATTCAGGAACCATAAAAGGGTTTCTAGTGGAAGGTGAAACACATAGTAAAGAGTCCCATTACGTCCATTGTGCTAGATTCTCAGACCTTGGGACCCTAAGTCAGATTGCTTCCCCTTTGCCATCCTTCCACTCACCGGGCAAACATTTGCCCTTCTGTACAGTTCACCCCTTCTGCCCAAGGAATGTCTGACACTTGGTTCTCCGTGCCCTCACTGAGCCCTTTGGTGACATCCCTCACAGCACTTACATTATTTGATTGGACCTCTTTGGCATGCATCAGGTGCTGAATAAACATTTGACCTAGAAATGGATGAATGGATGAATGAATGAATGAATGGATGAATGGATGAATGGATGAATGGATGAATGGCCATCCATTGTCCCTTCCTCTTTATCTTCCTTATTGGGCTGGGCTGTCTGCTGTGCTCCAGAAGAGTCTCTTTCTCAGTCTTGGTCCTGTCTGCCCTGCTAGTCAGCCAAGCCGAGTAGAAGGAAGGCATCATCTTAGAAAAGAGCCCAGGAACACTGCTCCATGCCTCATCGCTGGCCAGCCGGTCATTTGGCCTTGGGGGAATTGAACTGATGCAGTGGTCTTCTTGACAGCAGAAGAAAAGAATGCCATAGGTGTGGAACACGTCGTTGTTCAAGTGCGAAGTGGCAGTGCTGCAGGATCTGGGGGCTTGACACAAGACAGCAGCACCATTACACACTGCTCCTGGGGCAGATCATTAAAGTATAATCCTGTTGTCATTGATTTTGAGGTAAGTCTTTTCGCAGGTAAGGAAACCCACATCCATGTGGAATGAAAGTGAAGCAGAGCAGATCATTTTATATTTCTGATTATGAACCCATCAAAGAAGAAGATGAAATGTAATGGCACACTGATCTGGTGGTCTGGCCCAGGCCTCCAAGAGGCAGGGCAGGACTTTGGACACCACCCGGGGCAGTACCTCCAGTATTGCCAATAAAAAAAGGAATGTAAAAACCATTCTTAGCTCAAAGGCCAGACAAAAACAGGCAGTGGGTTAGGCTTAGATCTAGGCTATAATTTGCTATCCCTGCTCTAAATTATCTCCCCATCAGTAAACAGAGAATCTCTGACAGGTATTTCCCCCATGGAAAAGATTAGGAACCTGAGGCCAGGGAAATCTTATTTAAGGACACAGAGCTCCTGTGTGCTTGGATTTCAGGCCGTTAGACTGCTCATCCAGTGCATATTTCTGTCTGTCCCCTTGCCAACAGTGGTTTGCAACTGTGGTGTGCAACCTTGCTCCCCGGAGATACGTGGCGAACTTTAGCAGGACAAGGGAAGTGACACTGGCACCTAGGGCTCAAGGCCAGCGGTGCTGCTAGCTTCCCTGCAAGGCACAGAACAGCCTGCAGGAAACCGGTCACCGTACAGCCAAAGCTGAGAAAACCTGGCTTAACTCACTAACCTCACACAGATGGAAAATCAGGGTTAAACTGGGAAGGACACGGATTGTTCTAGCAGCTATCAAAACACTTCTCTTAATATACAGAAGAGTTCACTAAATACAAAGTTCATGTTTCAGACTTTTCTAGTGAAATATAGAGTGATTGTTTTTCTAACCATTCCTTCTCTACCCTTGCTCATTTTTCTACACACCTGTATTAAAAATCACAGGTATGGAGATACCTCAAAAATACATACCAACAGTTAAGCCCAAAAGCCTATTATTCTCTGCTTTCTATGAAGAGAAAGGTCAGATGGATTAACCTTGATTTCATTTCTTCTCCAATAAGTAAGGGACCACTTTCACGCACCTGTAATTCACAGAGGGTCTGAAAATTGCTATCATCAAGCTATTAGTGATTTGGCCAAAAACTGTAAAATTGATATCAGGAGAAATATATAAACTTTTATGGTCACAAGGTGAACTTTGTGTTTGCCTTGAGCAAAATGTCGAAGGGAAGTCTGAGGTTCACAACTTGGAGACGAAATATTGTCTCTGGGAGAAAGAGCTCTGTGCTTGGAAGAAGAAAGATACAGTTGGGATCACAAGTCAGTTACCTCTTCCATGAGTGGCCTGGAGCCCTGGTCTGTGGGGTAATATCTTAATCACCAGGTTAGGGAGAGAGGAGCAGGAACTTCATAAATCAAAAGAACAGTCCAACATGGAGGCTAAGGAACCAGCTCCAAAGTTCATAGCTGGCAAATGACAGAGCCCAGTGTGAGCCGCCCCAGACTGACTCCGGCACCAGAGACCACACCACAACCACAGCGTCCCCAAGTAGTATGGACTCAGCACAGTAAGCCACTGTCAGGGTTGAGATTATGTAAGCGATGCCGCTCGCATTGTGCTTTAAAAGGTGGAAGCCCCCAGAGAGATGAAGGATGAATCAAAGAAAAGAGGACAGACAAAGAGACCAGTTAGGGGCTATTTGGGACCTGATGTCCAGAGCAGAAGCCATGTCCTACTCACTTCCGCTTCCCCAGAGCTCACGGTGTTCGTGTATAGCATGCACTTAGATCAGTGAACACAGAGTCAGATTTTGTTATGTACATTAGTGGCGAGGCTATGTATTACTGCATGTTAACATGTTAGTTTATGTTGCATAGCTGAGTCATTTCCCTCCTCTGTGTCTGTTTGCTCATCTGTAAAATGGGGGCAAGATCATTGCCAGTATCTTCTGAGCTCGAACATCCTAAGAACCTTCCTTCTCCAGCTCCCTCCTCTCCCTGAGGTCCCCCCACTCCCACCAGGGAGTGCTTCCTTCCCACTTCTCGAGGGCTCCAGATGGAGATGGGGGGCTGAGTGCTGAACCTCACATCAAGGTCAAAGGGCAGCTGAGTCAGCTTCAGCCAGGGCTGCAGGGCAGCCCATCCTGCCCACATCCTGGCCCCAGGGCCAAGCTCCCTAAATTTCCAGTAAGTGATTTTCTACCGTCAGCTGGGCCCCAACCAGCCCAGATGTCACCTGCCTGGTGACTTCTGCCATGGCCCCTGGCCACATGCCAAGGTCTGTCACCACAGATCTTCCTGTCCTCATTTCCAGGAACCAGTCAAGGCTGTGACAGGTGCCCTCTGCCCCACTGTGGCTCCGTCCTGTCACTGATTTTGGCAAATCATTGTCCCTCCTGGGGCCTCAGGTTCCTCTGGAGAAAAGCTTTCGTTGTTCGGTCCCGTTGGGACGCAGCGTGGCAAGCATGCCGAGGTTCGCCACGGGCATGTGCAGTTTGAACAACACTGCCTTGGGTCAGAGTTTTTTCTCTTTTTACTATCATCACATCTAACTACTGAACAAAGAGCCTCACTTTATATTACTCTTCCCACTCTTCTACAATGGTATCTCACTTCTTCCATAGTCATACACATTCTTGGAAATGGCTACTCTTCCCGTTTTATAGTAAAAGAGGACTGGGCTCAGAGAGGGGCAGTTAAGACTGGTAGGCCACACAGCCCTGAGGTAAGCAGCGTTGATTGCTTTCACTGTGTGACAGCCTTTCCTTTGCACCACCTTCCTCATCCTCCCTAAACCTGGGAGCAGATTGCTTGTTCTCCTGAGGGAGGGAGGCTCCACGTGTCACAGGGCAGAGATCACACAGCTGGAGTAGGAGAGCTAGGATTTGAAGCCAGGCTCTCGGACATCAGATGCAATGCTCTTCCTCCTACACCTACTAGTTCTCAGCCCAAGGCAGCAGTTTGGCTCGCAGGGGACCTAAATCTCTCCTTTGCTGGAAGAAGGTAGTACAGCTTGGGCCCCAAAGAGCTCTTTGGTAGGAGGGATTCTGAGAAGGTGACCCAGGAGAGCGAGTAGAAGCCAAGTCCTGAGGAAGGAGGAAGCACAGAGTAAGGCCTAACTGGCACACAGTCTCCTCTGGTGAGGTAGAGTTGCGGCCAGAAAGGTGGGAAAACTGGGAGAGAACAAGATGGTCATGCTGGGCAGAGACATCCTTGCCCCAGCGGCCGCGGCTCTGCTGACCTTGCCAGCAGGGTGCGGACGAGGTTGTGGCTCCCTTCAACCAGGCAGCTTTCCCGAGGGACCCAAGGTGAATGAAGGAATGAACAGAAATAATGAACCCCTACTCTGGCCAGCGCCAGCCATTCTGGCCACCTGCTGTGTATATGATCTCAGTATTTCCCCTGGAGCCCTACAAGATAAGTGACAGTGTTTACCTCAGTTTATAGATGAGGAAACTGAGGCAGGAAGAGGGTCAGGTCACCAAGTTAGGATGAGGTTGGGCATCTGCTCACCATCCTCTACTTATCCCCATTCTGAGTGTCAGGAAATTTGGGGAAGGAGAGTGGAGGCTCTGAGGCAATTTCAGTGGCTCTCGTTTTGGGGAGTGGGGAAGGGGTGAGGGCCAGTACCGTTTTCGGACACCTGACTTAAAGAGATGTGAGTCACACTATAATTATCTCCAAGATCCCTCAGGAGGCAACTTGCTGGAGCCATGTCCACACAGCAGAGACAGAGAGGGAGTACGGGCCGCCTGGTCATTCCTCTCCCAGGCCCAGTATCGGTCACACTGAGTCACATGCACACACAGTGGGCAGGGCCAAAGGTGGTCTTGGGGCCATCACACTGAACTCTCAGTCTGACAGAGAGAGCCTGACAAGGACATCTAAGGCTGGGGAGTCTGTCAGCCACCATGGAGACCCCAAGGATCTCCCCAGTAAACCTTTGCCTGTGGGGCCAAGTCACAGAGACTGGTGGGGGAGAACCCTGCTGTGGCTGCCCCATCAGGGAGTATAATTACAGAGCTGGAAGGGATGCAGGGATAATCTAATCCAATGCTGTTCACACTGTGATCTGAGGTGCCCTGGGGTCCTACGGCTGCCCCAGGGGAGGAGGGTAAGCCTGATAGAAACCCCAGCTTCAAATAGAACAGCTCTGTTTTCATCTGACTGGACTTTAGGGTCCACGAAGATGTCATTTAGGGAAAAAGTAGCATTAAAAATAATGATGAAAAACTCCGCTGGATGCGTCTATCTGTCTCACACTGCAGAATCAGAAACTCAGAGCTGCTCGGTTGCCCAAAGCTACCAAGCTGGCAGGAGCCAGCACCCTGGGCTGGTTTCTGGAGACAGTCCACACTTGGTGCAAGTGTTGGATGTTCTGTGCAGAGAATCTGTCACCCACTGTGGCGGTGTTGTCAGAATCTGAGGGGTCCAATTTGCAAACTCTTACACAAAAACCCAGCGATCCACCCTGGAGATGAGCCTGGCCCAGCCTGCTCTCAGAACCCTGATCAGGCTTCTCGAAGCCTCCAGTGGCTCAGTGTGCTTCCTCCAGAGAGCGCTCTCCCACCTTCCTGTGCTATCCATCTTCCATGGGACTGCAGATTCTAATTCATGAGATGGGCTCTCCTCTGCCCAACAATGGTCGAATCAAGTGCAGGCAGAGAGCACAGGGGTCTTGCTTGGCTACCCCAAGGCATCTCCCCAAGGAGGGACAGCAGCTGTTACAGTGAGACAGGACGGCCGTGCCTCCTTGCCTCCCAGCCTACTGCTGCACCCCGCCCTCCCTGGAGTTTTCTCTGCAGGAGCCAAAGCTGATGGTGGCTGGAGCTGCTGGAACTCCCAGTTTGCATGCAGAGCAGGCGCCCAGGAAAGGAGGAGAGCATGCGACAACCCTGTACCCCAGGACGGAGGTGCCCAGTACCCACGGCCGAGAGTGCAGACCCAGGCCTGCTGAGCACCCCTGGGCTTGTGTGGGGAGGGGCACTGTGGAGGCTGCACCTGCACAAGGGACTGGATACAGACGTCTTCAGCTAGAGGGATGCAAATCAACACAGACTGCTTTCCTTGTCCACCCATGGGATTGTAGATGTCTATGATGAAACCCAAAATTCTTCCAGCCTCTACCCACTGCCCAGTTCCAAAGCTGCTTCCATGTTTTAGGGGTTTGTTACAGTAGCATTTCCACTTAGGATCTTTTTTCTGTCCTAGTCCAGTTAGGCTCCTGTACCAATAATCCAGGTGGCTTATAAACAGAAATTTATTACCCTCCTGGAGTAGAAGTCCAAGCGCAGGCTGCCAGCAGCGGCTTCTGTGAAGGTCTTCATTCTGGTCCAGCATCCTTGTCTTTTTGCTCCACCCTCACACCATGGAAGAAGCCAGGGCATCTCTGCGGCAGGGATGGAGAGCCTTTTGGAGCTTTCGATGATAACAAGCAGCCGACATGGTTTGCCACCCCTGCTCTGTGGGAAGGGGTGGTTTCCTCCTTTAAGTCACCTAATCACCTCCTGAGGTCCAGCCTGTTCATACCAACACCTTGAGATTAGGATTTCTACACATAAATTTGGCAGAGCAGAGGTGGGGCACAACTATTCAGACCATAGCACAGACTGTCAGTCCCTTATGGTCTGTGACTATGTGTGACCTGTCCTTGCCCAAGGAACGGTAATCTTGAGGGCGGGAATCAGGTTTTGTGTCCTGATTTCAGCACTGTGTCCTCAGCACTGGGCCTTGCATACACTGGGACCTGTGCAGCATCTTGGGATGGATGAGTGAAGGGATTCAAGGGTCACATATGAGCTCGGTAGTCTGGGCGGCTTCCCAGACTGCCTGTTAGTTTCATGCTACCAAGCAACAAAAGGCCATTCTGGGAAGTCTCCCAGAAGAGAGGGTAGGTTTGATGCTTCCTGCATTCTCTGTCCTTAATCCTGTAAGAGTAACCAGAAGGCATCTATACACTCATCCCTTGGTATCCACAGGTTCCAGAACCTCCCAGAGAAACCACAGTCCATAGATGTTCAAGCCTCTTTTATTAAATGGCACGGTATTTGCATCTAATCTCTGTGTATCCTCCTGTGTATGTTAAAATCATCTCCAGGTCTCTTATAATGCCTAATAGTTAAACACCATGTTAATTTTTGTTGTGCTGAATTGTTTAGGGAATAATGATGAGGAAAATACCTGTACATATTCAGTACAGATGCAGCTCTCCCAGGCCTAACCGCATCTCTTTCCACAGTTGGTTGAACCCACTATGGAACCTCAGATACCGCAGGCTGACATACATGAAACAATCAGAGGTTGTGTTAGGGCCGTGGGAAATTAATTGCTGACTTAAATCCAAAATATATGGCACAGGGGCTGGGGATTTAGCTCAGTGGCACAGCGCCTGCCTGGCAAGTGCAAGGTCGTGAGTTCGATTCCCAGTACCGGAAAAAAAACAAAAAAAAAGAAAAAACAAAATATATGGCACAGAAAATAAATGCTGAACAGGCAGATGTGAAAGAGAGATTTATCTTCACCTAAGTATGTATATGAGACACCATGGGCTAGACCCAGAACTTGAAGGGTTTTTCAACCAGGTAAATGGGGGGAGGATGGTGTTCATGATATGTAAAAATCCATCATGAGACAGTTTGAAGGTGAGAAAAAATATGGGGGTCTGTGGTATGTGAATGGGAATTGGAAGGTAGTAAAAGCAAATAAAATGAGGTATACAAAACATTTAGCACAGTGCCTATAATACAGTAAATTTTTAGTGTCACCTTTATTATTATCATTATAAATGAAAGCATATGGCTTTAGAAGCTTATTTCTAAATAAACTCAGATCTTCTATCTGAAAGAAAAAGGAAGACTCCCTTATTGCTTTTCACTGTCATTAATTAATCTTTTACTTTTAAAATTAATTTCCGTTAAGAATTTACATCCATTATTTTCATGCTACCAACAACAAAAGGCCAAATGGCCAGGGCGAGCGGGCACGTACAGAGGACTTTCAGTCCTGATCTGGGGACAGCAGGCCCAGCCGTGGGTACACACTAGGAGCCCCTGGGGAGTTTTCCACACTTCGGCACCTGGAAGCTGCACCTTGCACCACTGAAGTCTGAATCACTGGGGGTGGGAGTCAGATGTCAGTAGTCTTCAAAACTCCCCAGGCGATTCCAAGATCTGCCAAGGCTGAGAGCCCTATAGAAAGGAAGAGTCACTATAGTTGGTGGGTAATGGCACGTGTGACACGCAGGACAGGAATGCAGAGGTCTGTCTGTGCTACTTCATCTAGTCTAATCAAAGACCCTGGGTTTCAAAGGACACTGAGTCTTAGCAAGACTGAGTCTCAAGGAAAACAGAGTTAGCAGCCCGGGCCTGGAAAGCACCACTGCCAGCTCCTGCCTGCCTTGCCCCAGTGCCCTCTGTTCTGGGTAGTCCCCTTGCCCATGGAGGGGTCTGAAGCTCAGACTGTGGTACAGAAAATGGAAAGGAACAGGAGACCAGGCCACCCCCTGGAGGCCAGCCCAGCAATCTGGGGGTGAGAGGAGAGGGTTTACCCAGCTATCTGGATCAGCTGTCAGCCAAAACCAACAGCAAAGTGATGCTGTTATGGTTTACTCAAGAGTGGCCCCCAAACTCTCATGTGGTCCAAGGAGGGGCTTTTGGAAGGGGATTGGATAATAGGGGCACTACAGCTGCAAAGGTGGGGATTGCTCAGAAGAGGCAGTCACTGGGGCATGACCCAGAAGGGCCTATCTTCATCCCTGGCTCTTCCCGTCTCTCTGCTTCTTGGCCGCCATGATGTGGGCAGCTTTCTTCCATAGCGGACCCTTCTTCCATGCATTTCTGTGTTTGAACCAGCCAACCATGGACTGAAACTTCTGAAACTGTAAGCCAAAATAAACCTCTCCTCTAAATTGCCAGTGTCTAGTGTTTTGTCCCAGCAAAGAAAAAACATGACTAAGACAGATGCCATCCGCCAGTGCTCTAGCCAGAGAGCAAAGGCCTGCCCGTGTTCCACTCCTCTGAGGATACTACATCCCCAGCAATTTTAGAAATCAAAATACAGCTGCAGTGGCAATTTCAAAAGTAGCAACCCTTTACCAGTGCAGCACCTTTCCTTCTTCAGGAGTGATTTGCTCCCACAAAGCAAAAAGCATAATACTCATCCCATGTGTTCTCCCTTCAGTGCTTTAAGGAGATCTATAATCTCAGGTTTTATAGGGAGTGGGTGTAAACACACGGTTTAAAGATCTAATCTTCAGCTTGACAAGGTGTCTTTTGAAAAGTAAATTATTGACAGAGAGAATAGCAGTAGGGAGAAGCTTTCTTCCTTTTTTCTTCTTTGAGAGGGGAAGAACTAAAGAGTGCAACACTCAGCTCTCCTCTGAATGGCGCGTGCCTCAAAGGGAAGAAAATGGACAGAGAAAGGGTAGGCTGCAAAAGCCCCGTGGCAGGAATGAGCGAGAGCAAAGCTGTGGCACTTTGAGAGAAAGGGATGCGGCGTGGGTCAGCAAGAGGGCGCTTCTCTCCTGTGAGGAGAGTGTGCACCCTGGCTCTCCACATTGGGACTGGACAGCAGGCTTTCCGGTGACCTCTGGTGCCAGGCCCCAAACTGGGTGCCAGGGGCTCAGAGCTAAGTCAGACACTAAGCCAGCATGGAAGGATGCAGGGTCTGGTGGGGGAGACACGCCAGCAGTGCTGTAGGTCCAGGACCAGAAAGAAGCACAGTGGCTGTGGGAGACAGCATGGCCAGGGGAGTCGGAAGGCAGCCTGGGGGACTGGGTTAGCCAGCAGAGCTAGGGATGTGGCTCAGTGGTGGAGCTCTTGCCTTCCATGTACAAGGCCTTGGGTTTGATCCCCAGCACCACAAAAGGAAGGAAGAGAGGGAGGGAAGAAGGAAAGCGACATGGGGTGCACAGTTGTGCAGGGACATGGGCCTTGCAGAGCCACAGAGCTGGGACTGATGCTGCAGGTCAGGGAAAATCCTGCCCAGAGCCTCAGGGACCAGTGCTGGTTCTTGTCAGGTTGGGGCTGGCTGAATCTGGACCTCAGCTTTTGTCCCTAGGCCTTTCAAGGGGCATCCATGCTGGGTCCTAGAGAGATTGTCAGAGATAGCACTCCCCAGGCCTGTCCGAGTTCACCTCAGCTTGCCTCTGGGTTTCAACACCAAAGATTGTCACAAAGGCCAAGTTCTTAACTTTCTGTCTGGTCTGAGGCTGACTTGCCACCCCACCTTCATCTCTGCTTTCACACTCTATGGGCCACTGTATGAGTAATCTATTGTCCAGCATCTATCCAGTAATCTATTGTCCCAGCATCCTCAGCTCCCTGTCTGACTTCATTTTCTCCCCTTACCCCCAGCCCTATCCCTGGTAACAGTCCCCACAGGGCACTTGGCTATTCCTCACACATGCCCAGTCTACCCTGCCCCAGGACCTTTGTACCCACTCACCCCACTGCTTGGAAAGCTCACCCCTCCAGGAACTCTTCCAAGGGTCATGTTCTTGTGCTGTTCAAGTCTCTGCCCAAACATCACCTGTCCAGAGACTTTCCTTGCCTACCCTTTGGGAAGAAGCTCACCCTTTCCCTCCTTTATTTTTCTTGTGCAGCTCTTACCACCGCCTGAGATTATAGATCTGTTTGTTCTTTCTTGTTCTTCGCGTGTGCTATGGACCGAATGTTTGTGTCCCTCCAAATCCGTATATTGAAATCTTTTTTTTTTTTTTTTTTTTTTTTTTTTTTTTTTTTTTTTTTTTTTTTTGGTTTTTCTCCGGTACCAGGAACCAAACTCACGACCTTGCGCTTGCCAGGCAGGCGCTTTGCCGCTGAGCTAAATCCCCAGCCCTGAAATCTTAACTGTGATGGGCTGGTACTAGCAGGTGTGGCCCCATACAAGAACAGGCAGGAGAGAATTCGCTTCCTCACTACCACCTGCTGTGGGAGGATACAACATGGTGAAGGCCCT